AGGCCAATGATTTATGGGGGAAGGCCGATAATCAAGGAAGCAGGCCGTTCTTCGCGGGGGTAGGCCGATGATCAAAGAGGGACAGGTTGATGATTAAGGGGGAAAGCCGATGGCCATAATAAAGCCATTTCTAAGGCTATCCGTACACAATAGGCAATATGCATATGACGCCAAATTGTACCAAACTTTTTTTAAGTATACTTTATTACTATAAAAACAGTCCTGCAAAGATTTTTTTAAATATAATGTGACTTAGTGGCAAAATTTAATCATTAAAAAGTGTCTTTTTTCAAATTCCCTCGCTTAGTTCTAAAACGCACACCATTGGTCGAAGCAAGTGGCTTATATAACATGGCGTCGCTTGTTGACAATACACAGTTTACTTACGTTAGTTTATATAGAAATACACTCTTGAAGTATTTTACTGTAAACACGATATTAAAACCAACTTTAAAATAAAAAATTAATGAATAGAATCATTAATTGTCACTTATTTGTACCAGGAATAATAAAAATGAATCGATTTTTGACTTTTTGACCTTGAGTAACTTTGTTGTGTTTTATGTCGAAGTGACATCTGAGTGTATGTTATCAATGAAATATGACGATTGACGTCAATTGTCTCATGACAACTCCGGTCGCGTTTTAGTCGCTCGAAAATGATCGTAATTTTATTTTATTATTTTTAGCTAAAAGGTTGAATTTTTTGTGGTTATTTTATAACAAGTAGAATCATTTAAAAAAAGAAAAAAACGTGCATATTCTCTATTACAGAAGAACGTGGTGTTAGTAACAAATTACATAGCGAACGAGGTGAGTTCGACAGTGATCAGACGGCTGGTGCGGCGCGGCGAGAGCGCGCGCTACCTCACGGACGACGCCGTGCTCGCCTACATCCGCCACCACGCGCTCTACGGCGCCAGGCCACACGTCACGTGAGTCTAACACTGACCACTTTGTTAACGCCCACTCCCACCACTGGCTGATAGAGGCTCAGATAGCCTTGTGACGTCACTGTCAGATAGGATCAAATTACACGGATTGTTATCAGACAATTTACAATTGGGTGGGATTGGCCCTAAGACGTAATAATGTTGACTGAATTATGTTGATTTCTAAAAATACTGTCTGTTGTTGACTTTTGTTTCATAAGATGAAAAGAAATTGACTTTTCAGTTTGACAGATTGAGGTTATGTTTTGTTGTAAGATTTCTAGATTGTTTTTACATAACAACATTATCTGATATTAGTTTATTTTCATCTTATAATAGACAAAAATCTTATTTACTTGTCAATGTCAATTAATATTTTGACGTTAGGTTACTACGACTACAATGTTTTGATCGTTGAAATTATTTTTTATTTTATATGTAATAGATTTATTCGTATATTTTTATTTAAATGGTTTAATACATTTTATTATTACTCCTTACTTATATATTTTTATCTTCACGCTTACCACGGATTCAGTGAGTATAACTTAATAAACGATATACTCCCGACTTACGACAAAAAATCCCCTCAAGACGTCATAATGACGTCACCAGAAGAAACAAGCTTCAAGAACATTCTTATATCAATTCGCGACAAACCTTCCATTATAGACGAAACTATTACAGTAAAAAGACCTAGGAAATTCCTAGCACCTAATCAGACAGATTCAATCAGTCCTATCGAGGCAATTAAACCTAAAATGGCGTACATAGATAAAGTCCCAGCGAACTACGTCCCGGGGAAAGCTGTCAAAATTGTCAGCGATGAAAATGAACACTCGATTGAGAACGAAAAGGTAAGTTTTTCAGAATCGACTTATTCATCATTCGATAGTTACTTATCTAAAGATGATTTCGATATTTACAAACGAAGAGTTAGCGAAGGTAACGTACAGAATGCAAATATCAAGAAGCGTTGTTCCACGTCAACTATACGTAAGTTAAAATCTGACGAAATGCGTAAAAGTAAATCTGAAGTCAGTAAGTTATGTGACAAAGTTAAAAGTATGAAATTGAAAGAGAAAGATGACAGGAATTATAAGACGAGAAGTTGTAATGACATTGTCAGATTGATTCTGACGAAACACGGCATTCATGTAATAAGTGACACTGAGGCTATCGTATAAATCATTCGTATTCGTTCACTCATTCACTTAAGTCGGAAACACATATCTACTTTAAAAAGGAAATACTCCATGTTAATTTAATTCTCTATCAATGTCATTCATTCCGTTCACTTAAATCATTTGATAAAATTATTCTGAAACTTCCATATTTGTGCCAAATTCCAAAACAAATTATAGATAATTTTAATATGTAGATGATTATTAAAAAAAATGATTTCTCATCCATTAAGATATCATTCATTTCATTCGTTCACTAGTCATTCGATTGTATAAAATATTTGTATAGAATATAAATAATTAAAGGATTTTGAATATTCTATTTACCCCTTAGAATCCCCAAATGTCTATACAAATAATACTGTTATTTAAAATAAAAAATATAAAAAAAATATACGTCTATAAAGAATTTTATCTTAAAAGTTTATTTTATGCCAAATAAATGTCTTCCTAGAGTTTATTTACAATTATTATATTTGTTCGAAAAAATTTTGAAAATAAATTCCATATTTAAAAAATTCAGTTTACAAATTCAACTATAGACGTACTAATAAAAATATCGTCGTCTCCCTCTTACAAAGATAATGAGACAAGGAATGTTTAAGTGTGAAAAAGACGACAGTATTTTTGAGAATTCTATTGACAATACAAGCTGTACAAGATAAAAACCTATGCCTTTTAATTTAAAACATTTTAATGATTTGACAGTTTTTTTAGGCTAGTTAAGATTTTCGAATTTATCTCTACTATGTATATATAAATGTTTCTATTGTTCAAAATGTTTCCTGTCAATTTGCATCCTTTTATAAAAATTTTATCTGAATTTTAGAATAATTATAAGTAATATAAATTCAGTATTAGAAAAAGATTTTTATATAATTTTTTTTTTTATATTAATGCATGCAAATCCATTCTGCCAATTCCTAAATGCATGTGTGTTTATAATTTCTTCCTTATTTGAAATTTTGCGTGTTGTGATTTCAAATCTGACTAATGAGGTTAAAAAACAGATTATTTTACCGAATACTCTTCCTAGACCTACGAAAGTACAATCAGTGTTATAAATATGTCCTTCGACTGCGTCTTCACTTAGTTCAGTTTAGGTGGAATCGTGGTCATGATTTATTTATGACGAACTATCGCCCGTAAATTTCGTTAGCGTGAAATTAAAAAATGGTCGTCTATAACATTCCCGCGTCTACCTATCGGCGATCTTTCAGTCAAAGTTCCGTCTAAATCGATCCACCCGCAGAGATAGCGGTACTGTCGCCATTTTGACAAAGTTTATTGACGTGAAAATATGTAGCCTAAAGCGTGACGTAAGTGTATGGCTTTTTATTAAAAAAAGAACTATTCAATAATATGCTGTAATTGCTGACATCTTAGGCAACAAAGAAGTGTGTGTTTACGCTTTATTATATTAGTATAATCTGTGTATAACCTCATTGGTCGTACTCTATGGTTGAGGTTAACTTGTGCTCTATGGTTGTATAGGGAGGCTGCTCGCTGTAGCTGAGGTGTTGCGCGCCCCGACCCTGAGCGCGCTACCTTGTGCCCCATCCCAGTAACAATTAGCTTAACTCGCATGTATTACATACACAAGAAATATATAGACATAGTAAACCCGGTAATTTTGAAAGTTTTAGTGCCACCTCATGTTATAAAAACATAGCTGTTCCAAACTTCATCCGCATGAAATTATAAAAATTTTATTTTATTGTTTACATTTGTCAAATTACAAATGTCAAAATGACATGACATGATAACAACCTTGCTTTCTTCATGTTGGCAGCAACTTATGGTCTCTTTCCCACATTAGAATTTTTATCCAAGATATTTATCCCCTAAGTTTAATGGCGTTAAAATATATAGCTTAAAGCGTGACGCAAGTGTGGGGCTTTTTATTAAAAAAATGATTGTTCAAAAATATGCTGTAATTGCTGACATCTTGCAACAAAGAAATGTGTGTTTACGCTTTATTATAATAGTATAGAAGTATAGATTTTACAATATTAATACAAAATAAAATGTATAGTTTTAAATTTGTTTTAATTTCACCTATTGACAATTCATTACACTACACTTAATTATATTGACATGTTTTAGTGAGAATCATGTGAAGTAAAGTGTCAACTATGCTATGTCTATATATTTTTTGTATCTTTTCGTTTACAACCGAAATCTATATTCAATATGTATACGCTGGTCACCATACAATATCTCAAAGCCCTTAGAGGGGGGGGGGGGTTAGAGGGCAAAAAAGGGGTCGATGTTATTATTTTTCTATTTTTAAATGAAATACACTTTTAATATTGATAAGTTGCAGTTGGTATGTAAGTTTTGTTTAAACTCCAAGTGAGAGAGAATCTTTACCTCAATGATATTATCACTGAGGTAAAGATGAAAAAATAGGGGACGGTAACAAATACTTTTTAAAGGATGACGGAATTATTATGTATTCAACACAAATCAATTAAAAAAAACCAGGTCTCTATTGAATATTTATTTCGGTTGTGTTAATTACTTTTGAGTTTATACGTAACTGGATTAGGCATAAAGTTTTTAGCTCATTTGCAAATCGTCACTACAGGACAATTATATAAAAGTACGTACTTTTATTAGATCTTATAATTAAAACTACCAATTTTGGGCGAACACACTTTGAGAGTAAGACAAAGAGTAAGATACGGTTGATTACGGACATAGATTATATAAAAACGTCAAAGAGTATAGATTATAAAGATATAAATCAATAGATATGTTAATTTAATATTGACAACAAGAAATCTAAACGACATCCATTCTAGATTTTAATAACGTAGATTTGACTATACAATTTAAAATTGGTATAGTTTTTATTTATTAAAAATGTTTTCAACCCCTGCAATTGATGGCTCCTATTTAAATTATAGTGTGAAATGTACATTTTGTAATACGAAATTTACATGAGCAACGTTTTCATATTTACACAGAAAACCATTGTCAATATTTAAAAAAAAACGTAACAATACAATCGCAAAGTTCTACTAGGAAACATTTTACAGTTTAAAATTTGTGATATAAATCTTATTCTTACTAATATTATAAATGCGAAAGTTTAGATGGATGGTTGGATGGATAGATGTTTGTTAGAGTTTGTAGCCTAAACGGCTGATCGGATCTCGATGAGATTTGGCATAGACGTAGAGACGTCTGGAAGAACACATAGGCTACTCACTTTTCTTTTTTAAATCCTTACAGACGGAGTCGCGGGCGAAAGCTAGTTCATTAATAAAAATGTTTTGTACCCCCGCAAATTTGTTACATGGTAATTTCAGTTACGTATAAATTCAAATATTTCAAGTATAATAGAAAAAATACTTTTTTTGCTTTTAGTAAAAAGCGATGTTAGCGTTTCGGACTGTGCTTAGCTTATAGTATTGTGTAACGTGGGCTTTCACTGTCGGAACATGTATATTGTTTTATTATGTAATTTTACTCTACAGTTCGATTGACACTTAAAATTTTGCCTATAATGTTAAACTAAACGTCTTTAGCGGGCTTTACCTGTACTAATACGATTTTCGACAATGGAATATCACGGAAAAAAATTTTTTTTGGATAATTCGCTCACTGCCTTATTGAGTTGCATTAAGGTATAAGTGGATTTTTTGAGTTTAAAATTTAATTTTTAACTCAAATATTTTAATTTTATTTGTGTCTTAATAATGGCCGAATTCTGAAACGCAAATACTTCGTTTCGTGTACCAATAATCTGACAAATATGATTTTTTAATGGTATTGTGGTTTACGCGTGGCCTTGTCATTTAAGACATATTCAAATGTCGTTTCAGTATTGTTAAAAATATAACAGTCTCTTAAATGATATGGCCACACTTGAACTGCAAATTCAATTAAGATTTTGTATGTTATTATAAGTGTTTAAGTTGTTACCTATATAACCTAAAGCGTGACGTAAGTGTTGGGCTTTTTATTAAAAAATGAATTATTCAAAAATATGCTGTAATTGCTGACATCTTAGGCAACAAAGAAGTGTGTGTTTACGCTTTATTATAATAGTATAGATAATGCAAATGTTTTAGTGGCCAGTATACAACCTCTGGCTGTATTCGTACTGTTTGTCAGCCAAAGAGGTTGTATTTAGCACTCAACATAAGTGACGCTTACGAAACCAAGTATTTATGTTTCAATGTTTGTCCGTGAATTTAAGAATTGTTTGTGCTTATTTTAGTTATATTTCTTTAAGTTCCTAAAAATATATCAAAGTATCGATGTACTTAGGATTTGATTGGATATAAATATTGTAAAGTTATGCTATGATTTGAAAAATAATTGAACCTAGGTAAGTGGAACCAAGGGACTTTTTAGCTTGTAGAGTTTTTTGTAATCCGAGTTTTTCGCTTACGGAGGTCCGTATGGCCAAAGGTAGATGCAGCATTGATAATACCCTTCTTTAATAATACAAAAGCATATATAAATAATTGAATTGTTAAGTTTCTCTTCTCTCTTTCTTGTATTCCTATGTCCCCAAAGTGGGGCATAGGACGTCCACAGTACGCCGCCAGCTCGCTCTGTCTTGGGCTCCGCGTTGTATCTCGGACCATGACGGCCCGAATTGTTAAGTTTGAAAGACAAAAATTCTAGCCATAGATACCTTATCTTTTCCGAACGACATTGACTTGTGACTTTTAGGTTTCAAAGCAAATCATTTGGTATACATCATCAAATAATGGTAGTCTAGCTTCAGCCTTAGAGCGGGTTTAGACTAAACTATCGCATAACAGTTGTGCGATTGTCGATTGTTTCGCAGCTCAACTGTTTATTTGCCCTAAAAATCGAGTAGTGAGCGCTACATATGAGCTCATAGAAATCAAAGCGTAAACAGTTGTGCGATAGTTTCTTTTCCACCCTTTTCTTAAGAGTAAAGGATTGAAAGAAAAAGTGGATTTGATGGTGGCGAAGACGCATATGAAGGGGAAATGTCCTCTTTATGTGCGTCTCCTCCTCCGTTAATTAAGGGTAGGCAACGCATCTGCAATTGCGGATGTTTATGGGTAGCAGTCGCTTTCCATTTCGGTGAATTCAGGTAGCCGCTTGCTCGTTTGCCATCTTATATTATAAAAAGAAAAAGTTTAGTCAAAAGTGTGCGTCTACTCTTAGTTGTTCACTTATCGAGGTGTCTTAATCCAGTTCTCACTTATCTAGGTTTCGTAAATTTGCTTTTAAAAATTAATTAATTTTATATACGTTTATTCCCCTCGGTGATTTTTACAAAATATCGCATGTCTCTTTAACATAAAATGGATTTACACCACTTTCGAAATAAACGGTCCATATGTTTTTGATTTTTGCATTTATACATATAGAATATGTACTTAATTTTAAGAATAATTTTTATTATTGTTAACTAATCTTGTCAAGGACATCGAAAATTTACTTTTTTGTATTTTTTTTTTATTTAATGTTGCCATAATAGAAAATTTATTGTATTTATGTGTCGAGATAAGAATTATTTTGTATATTTTAGTTACAATTTTTATTATGAAAAGAGGTACACAATGTTATTTAACACTTGGCGTGCGGAGACACTTGCGCTGTATTACATGTAGCGGGTGTTTTAGTAAATCGCGGGGATATTTCTTTCACCGGATAACGCAGTAAATCGAAAACTGTATTATTTACAACGAATATTCTGAATACTGAACGTGACCCGCGCTCCAGCGACAGTCTGCAAATATGTAAAAAAATGTTCCCCGCATTCCAAGTGTTAACACTCCAGTTGGTTCTTCATTTGTCAATCAGGTTACAGATAACAATTATGCTTAAAAAAACATAGTTTATTATTATATAACCATCACAAAAGTATTAACAATAGACATAGATGCACTTTTAATTGTTTTATTTGTAAAATGGACTGTTTAATAAATATTTTATTTATTTATCTGTATTTTTTATTCACGTCAGTATGCAGTTTTATTACGCCTAGTACATTAACGTCGTCAGAGGGAGGCAGGGGAGGAGGAGGGATGGTGTAGCTACCCTAGACTAGTCTAACTAGTCCCCGTGGACGAAAAAACACAAAAGTAAGCCTATGTGTTCTTCCAGACTATCCTCTACATCTATACAAATTCCATCGAAATCCGTTCAGCACTGCACAATACACACAAACTCACCTCATAGCGAAAACCACACAAATGGACGACATTCCGTATCAAATAGCGGAATGTGGTCCAAAAAAAGACACCTTTTTGATCAAATTAGGATATAAGAAAACTCCGTTCGCGTAGATTAAACAAAAGTGAGTAGCGTATGTTTTCTTCCAGACTATCCTCTACATCTTTACCATTTTTCATCAAAATCCGTTCAGCCGTTTAGGCTACAAGTTCTAACAAACGTCCATCCAACTTAACTTCACATTTAAAATATTATTATGATTAGTAAGAAGTAATGTTAAATCAAAATACTAACGGCCGAATACTGAAACGTATCTTAAATACTTCGGGTCGTAAACGCCGCTTACAAAGACGTCAAAATTCCATTCAAGACGTTATATTTATGTGACTTCAGTATTCGGTCATATTTTGCCTACAAT